GAAACAGTGGTGGCATTTCCAAGTTTTCCAGCGGGACCCCCCTCTCTTTCCTTTGAATCATGTTTTCCTTAAGTTTCCTTAAGTTTTCCCACTTTCCCCCCCCACACACACAAAGGCTGTGGGGGTTGGTGAGCAGAGGGGCTGCCACAGCCCATCCCCAGCGCAGCCCATCATCACCCATTTCCCCAGTGATCCCACCGGAGCCGTACACCCCCCCAAAACCCTCCCTACATCCTCCCCACATCCTCCCCCCAGCCCCACACACTCACGAGGACGGCAGCCGAGAACCAGTGGTTGACCAGCCAGTTGCCCATGGTGTGATGTCCCCGTCCCCGTGCCCGCACCCGCCGTTTTATGGAGAGGGCAGGCGGTGTGACAGTTGCAGCCACGGGGAACAGCGCCCCGGGGGACTTTCCCCTGAGAAACCTTTGAGGAAATGGCGTGTAGTTTCAAAGGCCACTTTCCAGGAAGACAGGGCTGACCCCCATGGGCCAGCCCCGAAACCAGCCTCCCCCACCGGCCGGGCACACGTGGCCCCTCACTCAGGTGTCCCCTGCAGCCCCACAGCTGAGCGCTGCAGGGCATCAAGCTGCCTCTCTTGGATTTTTGCAATATTTGGGGACAAAAATGGGCTTTTTTTTTTTAAGGTAGGAATTTCCTGGTGGGAGGAGGTCGCAGAGGGTCCATCCTGTGCCTGGCTCGGCAGATGTGCTGTTCCCTGCTCCCCCTTCTCTCCAGGCTTCACTGCCCCCCATTTTACCAAAAAGCCACCAAGGGAGCAGCATCCCGGGGGCACTGCGCTGTGCTGGTGCCAGGATCCAACCCAGGGACACACTCCAGGGTAGGTGAATTAAGACTAAGCCCCCAGCGGTGCTGCACCTCCACGGGCACTCTCCAAACAGACCCCAAAAATGGTTTTTGGGGGTGGGCTGGGGGTGGTCACGATCCGGGGACACTTTGGGATGAGGACCCCCGAGGTGCCATCAGCATCCCCATCACCGTGCCTGCTGCCCTTCCTCTCCTGCCCGCCCTCAGCTGCAGGGTCCCCAGCTCTGCGGCGCCCACCGCTCCAACCGGGAACGGCAGATGGTGCTGGGGCCTCCTGCCTGGAGGAACAGGTTGGGCAGGATTGCTCCTTGCTTGCCAGGTTGCTCCTGGCCCTCAGCCACCTTGGCGGAGGCGTAGGATGAGGCCGGCCCCCGTCCGGCCACGCTCCTGCTTCTTGTGGGCTCCGTGGAGGGGCTCCCCCACATCCCCGCTTCCCCCTGGCACCCGTCGGTGCCTGTGGGCAGGAGGGCTACGTGGGCAGTGGGTGTGGGAACCCGTGCCAAGCCCTGGCGAGACGGTCCCCACCCTCCGCCTGAGTCACCGGCCGCCACCAACACCGGGACGCGCAGCCACAGCAAAGTTTCTTTACTGCTTAAAACAGTCCCGCTGGCACCCGTGGCACACTGTTGGGTGGTTGGGGGTGTTGGGGCACCCCACAGGGGCTGTGCACCCCACAGGAGCTGGCTTGCTCTGCCAGCTGGTTTGGGCACCACGTAAGTCCTTCGTGTCCATGCGCGTGGTCCTGGGCAGGTGGGCACACTCTTGTCCCCCCTGGCACCATGGGAATGCCCTGAGGCCCACTGCCACCATGGGGATGCCCTGAGGCCCACTGCCACCACAGGGCCACAAGCCCCCTCCGGCTGCTGGCACAGCCTGTCCCCATGTCCGTAGCCGGCTGGAGAAGCCGGGTGCTGGCCCTGCCTCACACGATGCTGTGCCTCACGCCGGGCTCGTAGGGTGCCTGGAGGCACAGAGGGGTCCCTGGTGGGCGCCGGCGGCAGCAGACGCAGTGCAAGAAGTCGGAAACGTTGTGGTGGAAGAGCTGGCGGCAAGGGTGGAGGTACTGGAAGAAGAGGAGCATGAAGTAGATGCCCAGGCAGTAGCCCAGGAGCAGCTGCACCACCAGCAGCGGGGTGCAGATGTTCTCGTAGACGTCCGTCTTGAAGAAGTACCAGAGGATGACCAGGGCAGTGTTCTCCGCCAGCCGGGCCACGTAGTACACGGCCAGGCGGCCCCAGTTCTGAGACTTGTCGATGAGGTCCCGGTCGGCCAGCTTGAGCTGCACGGCCGACCAGCAGAACATGTTGATGCTGGCGTAGAGGAGGGTGAAGGCGCAGAGCACCACCACCGTGCCCACCCGGCTGAAGTTCTTCTCGATGTTGTCGGGCAGGTGGGTACCGCTCCGCCAGAACTGCACCCAGGGCAAGAAGAAGACCACCAGCAGGTTGGCCAGGGCGATGGGGATGATCCAGTGCTTGAAGACGGTGCTGAAGAGCACGAGGACGGCCACCCGGGTGGAGATCTCCAGGCTGCGCCACAGCACAATGCAGAGGAAGGCCAGCGGCCTCAGCTGGACCTTGTAGTCATCGTACTTGACCTGGATGGCCAGGACATTGCAGACGAGCGCTCCGTAGGTGACCGACACCAGGCAGATGCCCATGAGGACGGCTGCAGAAGGAGAAGGCAAGGAGGTCAGGCAGTGCTGGGGACTGGGCTGTGTACCTGGCCTCTCTGCTGCCCAGGGTGCAAAGTGTGGGGTGACAACCCTGGGTGGAAAGTGTGGGGTGCCAACTCTGGGAGTGAAGCATGGGGTGATGACCCTGGGTGTGAAGCGTGGGGTGATGACCTTGGGTGGAAAGCTTGGGGTACCAACCCTGGGAGTGAAGCGTGGGGTGACGACCCTGGGTGGAAAGTGTGGGGTGCCAACCCTGGGTGGAAAGTGTGGGGTGACGACCCTGGGTGTGAAGCATGGGGTGATGATCTTGGGTGGAAAGCTTGGGGTACCAACCCTGGGTGTGAAGTGTGGGGTGCCAACCCTGGGAGTGAAGCATAGGGTGACGACCATGGGTGGAAAGCTTGGGATACCAACCCTGGGTGCAAAGCATGGGGTACCAACCCTGGGTGTGAAGTGTTGGGTGCCAACCCTGGGTGCAAAGCTTGGGATGACAACCCTGGGTGGAATGTGTGGGGTGCCAAGCCCCGGGGCTTGCAGCAGGAGTCTCACTGGGCACTGCTGGGACAGCTGGTGGCTGGTGGTGACAGACCCCATGATGGGGTGGCTGTGGGGGGAGCTGCAGGCAGCAGGAGGCTCTGCTCCCAGATTTTCTCCCTGAACCAATAAACCAGGAGCCTCTCCCAAACTGGGGCCATTCCTGTGCTAGGATCCCCCCTTGCCCTACACAAGAAATGCTGCTCAAGGGGGACCGGGGCACGGTCCGTTGCTGTGAGGACCCCTCTGCCCTCACCTGGACCAAGGGCCACCCCACTGTTGCGTAGGTGGGCACAGAGGGCAAGGTCTGGGCTCCCAGTATGGCCAGGAAAGCAGGTTGGCAAGGGCAGTGCCTTCACGCCTGGTTCATCGACATTCCAGAGTGGGATTTAACAGCTCTCTCCGGCACATCCAGCCCCTGAGCACACCAACACCCCGGGAGCAGGCGAGGGAGCCCGGGAGCTCTGGGCTGGGAGCTCCGGCTGCTGGGAAAGGCTCAGAAATAGATCCAGGAGAGGGAACATGGGGAAGCCAGAGCTGGAAAAACCCAGTAACGAATGTGAACTGGAGCATCCTGGGGCAGGGGCATGACATCTCCATGGGACAGGGCAGCGGGTGGGTGGCATGGCTCCTCAGGGCAGATGTCTACAAGCACCGAGCCTTGGCCATGGCCAGCTCTTCCCACCCTCCCAGCTGGAAAAGCGGCGCGCTGGGGGTGGGACAAGCAAACCAGGGGGGACAGACGAGCATGAAACCTCTGTGGGCCATCCTCCACGTCTAGGGCAGTCTGGTGGCAAGCCCCCAGAGCTTTGTTCAGGTGCCACATGTGGCTAAGGAGCTACCACCGTGCCCCGGTGGTGTCCCACCTGCACGGCCCCCGTGGCAGGTGCCCTTACCTCGGGCAGCAGGGACGTACTTCTCCAGGATGCTGATGTAGAGCTGGAGGGTGAGCTGCGGGGTGGAGCCCAGGAAGGCCTGGATGACAGCCATGCGCTTGAAGGCGTTGCGGTGGGTGGCCAGCCGGCGGACCGAGTGGCCCACCTCCTGCTCCATCTCCACCTCGTAGCCGTTCCGCAGCCGCCGCTTGCGGGTGATGGTGACGTAGGGCTCCTCCTCCTTCCCCGACCAGCAGTACACCACCAGGGCCTCCATGCACCTGCAGGGACGTGGCAGCCGTCACCCCGCCAGCCTCTCCACTGCTCCCCCCTAGACCCACTCCCAGCACCTCCAGCCCCCCCCATCTCCTGGTTGCCAGCCAGACCCTGCTCCTGCTGGGTGCAGCCCAGATGATTTGGGCTACTGTTCAGCTCACTCCAAGCTGGAAAAGCGGAGTGCTGGGGGTGGGAAAAGCAAACCAGGGAGGACAGATGAGCATGAAACCTCTGTGGGCCATCCTCCACGTCTAGGGGAGCCTGGTGGCAAGCCCCCAGAGCTTTGTTCAGGTGCCACATGTGGCTAAGGAGCTACCACCGTGCCCCGGTGGTGTCCCACCTGCACGGCCCCCGTGGCAGGTGCCCTTACCTCGGGCAGCAGGGACGTACTTCTCCAGGATGCTGATGTAGAGCTGGAGGGTGAGCTGTGGGGTGGAGCCCAGGAAGGCCTGGATGACAGCCATGCGCTTGAAGGCGTTGCGGTGGGTGGCCAGCCGGCGGACCGAGTGGCCCACCTCCTGCTCCATCTCCACCTCGTAGCCGTTCCGCAGCCGCCGCTTGCGGGTGATGGTGACATAGGGCTCCTCCTCCTTCCCCGACCAGCAGTACACCACCAGGGCCTCCATGCACCTGCAGGGACGTGGCAGCCGTCACCCCGCCAGCCTCTCCACTGCTCCCCCCTAGACCCACTCCCAGCACCTCCAGCCCCCCCCATCTCCTGGTTGCCAGCCAGACCCTGCTCCTGCTGGGTGCAGCCCAGATGATTTGGGCTACTGTTCAGCCACTCCGCGGCCAGTCCCTGGCCCTGGGGCACACCAGGACCACAAGGATGCCTGGTGGCCACTCCTCTGCTGCGGCATTCAGGGGTAGGGGGACAACCACAGCCCCAGGGAGGGGGGCACCAACTGATGGATGAGGTGCAGCATCCAGGGCATGGGAACCGTAGCTCTGCTGGGAGCTAGAGCTCCAGGAAGGGGTTAATCACCCTCGGGCTCCGTTTTCCCCACTGGCACAAAACCGCATCTCTTCCTCTAAGCAAGAGAAACTTTCTGATCTCGTCTTTGATCTCTCCTCTTGAGCAGAAGTCTTCTACGTTTCCTTCTTGGTGGGGACCAGCAGGAAGGAGAGCGTGGGGTGAAGCCGAGTGTGACACGGGGAGATAAGGCAGCGCTTCCGCAGCCCCTTCCCTGGGGGGGGCACCCTCCTCTGCAGGGAGGGGAGGAAGGTTTCCACCACGCTGCTCCCCCTCGCAAGGCCAACAGGACCCCGGCTGTGAGGAGGGTGTGTGTGGGCCACGGGCCATGAGGAGAGGAGGACCCATCCAACAGGCTTGGCTCCCCCCTGGGGACAAGCTGGCTCGGCCACCAACAGGACGTAATTATTTACGAGCGTTCATTAGGACAGCAGACCTCGCTCTGTTTCAGCCCCAAACGGAATGAGGTTTTTGGGGGGATAAATTCTCTTGCCAGATGGCTCGTCGCAAACTCCAATGGGAAAATAGCTTCATCCAAAGGGCCTGGCTTCAAGGGCCATCCCAGCTGGCTCCTGATGCTCTGCCAGACCTCCTCAGCAGCCCGATAGGAAAATAGTTTCATCCAAGGGGCCTGGCTTCAAGGGCCATCCCAGCTGGCTCCTGATGCTCTGCCAGACCTCCTCAGCAGGCTGGGCTCCATCTCCAGCAAGCGGCTGAGCACCATCACAACCACCTCAGAGAGGGCTGTGGTGGGTGCTGTGAGAGGTGTGACACCACCGGTGGCCGAGGTGGACCCACAGCCCTTCCAACGGCTGCCGGTGCCGAGGTGAGGCTTCCCGGGTGCCTCTGATGATGGGCGGTGGTGACGGGGACAGCCCCGGCACCCTGCTGGTTTCCGGTGATGGAGGAAGCGCGGTGAAGGCCGCGGTGTTTTCTCGCAGCTCTGTGGGTACGGCGTGCCCCAAAGGGTGGCTGCTGGCTTGCCCTTGGGGAAGGAGCTCTGCAGAGATGGTGGCTCTGCCTTGGTCCCCCTCTTCCTTGAACCTCCTGCTTGCTCCCGACCCCGGCTGTGAGGAGGGTGTGTGTGGGCCACGGGCCATGGGGAGAGGAGGACCCATCCAACAGGCTTGGCTCCCCCCTGGGGACAAGCTGGCTCGGCCACCGACAGGACGTAATTATTTATGAGCGTTCATTAGGACAGCAGACCTCGCTCTGTTTCAGCCCCAAACGGAATGAGGTTTTTGGGGGGATAAGTTCTCTTGCCAGATGGCTCGTCGCAAACTCCAATGGGAAAATAGCTTCATCCAAAGGGCCTGGCTTCAAGGGCCATCCCAGCTGGCTCCTGATGCTCTGCCAGACCTCCTCAGCAGCCTGGGCTCCATCTCCAGCAAGCGGCCAAGCACCATCGCAACCACCTCAGAGAGGGCTGTGGTGGGTGCTGTGAGAGGTGTGACACCACCGGTGGCCGAGGTGGACCCACAGCCCTTCCAACGGCTGCCGGTGCCGAGGTGAGGCTTCCCGGGTGCCTCTGATGATGGGCGGTGGTGACGGGGACAGCCCCGGCACCCTGCTGGTTTCCGGTGATGGAGGAAGCGCGGTGAAGGCCGCGGTGTTTTCTCACAGCTCTGTGGGTACGGCGTGCCCCAAAGGGTGGCTGCTGGCTTGCCCTTGGGGAAGGAGCTCTGCAGAGATGGTGGCTCTGCCTTGGTCCCCCTCTTCCTTGAACCTCCTGCTTGCTCCCGCCGAGCGGGGTGGCCGGGGTGACAGTGCCAGCAGCGCGGGGAGGCACCGCAGCATTCCCCAGGGGTGAGCGATCAGCACCTCTCCAGCTTGTGCAACATCCACCCCCTCACCCTCCTGTCCCCAGCAGGGGCTGGTGGCCTCCCAAACCCCACACCAGCCCCGCTCCTGCACCCAGCTCCTCTCCATTTCCCCCCCAGCCATCCCAGGCCCACGGGGACCTTTTCTGGGGGGCAGGACCCCTTATTCCTGTTCACCTTCAAGCCTCCCCGAGCTGGGATTTGCATCTGTGCTCCCAGCCTAAGCCAAACGATGGCAAAACCCAAAGGCAGAGGGAAACACTGGCTGCAGAAAGCGACCATGTGAAGAGCCTTTAAAGCAGCTGAGAAGCAACAGGCTGGGAGAGCTGAGTTCTGCCAGGAGCAGGGCTCCAACGGGCAGGAAAGGGGGCAGCACCCCCCCGGCAGGACCCCCTGTGGAGGGGTGGCCGAGCAGAAGACCCCTGGGAGGAAGGGGATGGGGGATGGCAGGAGCAGCTCTGGGCACGCCAGGGGTTTGCTGCACGGACAGATATCTGCTGACAGACAGCACTCGCAGCGCTCCACCCTTCATGGCCACGCTCCCTGCTCGCACCCGGTGCGTGCGGGACCTCTGGTGGGGGTCCTGCATCCTTGGCGGGGTCCCTCCATCCTTGCTGGGGATCCCTGCAGGGGGGGGTCCCCGCATCCCTGCTGGGGGTCCCTGCATCCCTGCTGGGGGTCCCCAGTGCTGGGGGTCCTGCATCCTTAGCGGGGTCCCCGCATCCCTGCTGGGGATCCCTGCAGGGGGGGGTCCCCGCATCCCTGCTGGGGGTCCCTGCATCCCTGCTGGGGGTCCCCATATCCCTGCTGGTGTCCCTGTGTCCCATGCTGGGGGTCTCTGCATCCCTCTGGGGGTCCCAACGTCCCTGCCGGTGGTCCCTGCATCCCTGATGGTGGTCCCTGCACCCTTTCTGGGGGTCCCCGCATCCCTGACAGGGGTCCCTGCATCCCTGCTGGTGTCCCCACGTCCCTGCTGGTGGTCCCCACGTCCCTGACAGGGGTCCCCTCGTCCCTGCCGGCATCCTTGCCGCAGAGGGGTGCCGCCCCCCGCAATGCTGGGGGTCCCCGCATCCCTGCCGGGTGTCCCCGCATCCCTGGCCGGTGTCCCCGCGTCCCACGCCGGGTGTCCCCCTCACCTGATGATGGGCCCGAGCTGGAGCAAGTGCATGAGGAGGACGAGGGGGCGGTCGCGGCTGAGGTCGCGGTGGACGAAGATGAGAGTGAGCTGGACCAGGACGGAGGGGCAGAGCACGAAGAAGACGGTGAGCGCCAGCCAGAAGCGGTCGTCGGAGTGGCCGTAGGAGAGGCAGAGGACGGTGGCCGCCGCCCCCTCCCCGCAGAAAAGGGCCGTCGAGAAGACGATACCGAGCGGCAGCTTCGCCCG